TTTGTCTTAATTTTTTTCTCTGAATCACAAGAGTTTAGGTTCTCATAGAAATTTGGAAAATAAAGATACAAAGATAAAAATAAGAATCGTGCAATTGCACCAACAGAAGATAACCAGTAACCATTTCGATATGCTTCTTTCATTTTCCAGATTTTTCTTCTTCACTCTTCTGCTTGTTCCAGAGACAGCCCCATGTAAGCATGTGTAGTGGGTATATGCATATAGATATGTCTATATATGGCTCTCTCTCTGTTGTATGATCTGTAAGTATAAAGGCAGTATTATACTGTAAATTTCTACTTTTTAAAGTATTTTTAAATGACCATTAAATATTCTTCAAAAACACTCTATATTAGAATGAATGCATATTTTACCATATGAAAATCTCATAATTTAACTACCTTTTAATTGTTGTATACTTAGGTTGTTTCTAGGTTTTTGCTCTTTGTTAAGGATCAACTTTGTGTATAAATCTTGTCTGAGGAGTTTATTTCCTTAGAGCTATTTCTAGAAATGAGTTGCTGGGTTAAAGGGTGTGCTGGTCTGTATCAGGATTCACTGCTCTATTATTTGTGGTCTCAAAAACTGGAGCATGTGCATAGATTCACATGCTCCACTGTATGTATAGAGTTATTTTATCTTCTAATCATAGAAGAGCACCCACTTCGATCACCTAGAAGAAATCATTTTACTCACCAAACATTGTAGCAACCTTTTGTCATAGACCAGGATGAAAACTGAAGATGTAGTTAGACTGAGACCAACACTAGGACACAGTTAACTGATATGCTTAACTCACCCTTAGCAAGTGAGATGCTTTGGCTCCATTCACATTGTGTCATTTCCCCTCATCTCTCAGCACATTCAACGGAGGCCCCTCTGGACCAGACTTATAATTTAGGTTATTTTAAATATGTTAATTAAGGAGAGAGTAGGTCATTAGTATATTTGGTGATGGTCTCAATGTTCCAATTATTTAACATATTTGGGAACAAATTATTCTGCATAAATGAGCTTTGCAGATGATTGAGGATAACCAGTTAAAACAGTAGTTTGGGGTACAAAAGTTCCAATATTGCGAACAGATTTCCTGACTTCTTAATTGTAATGAACACATCAGTATAAATGAGTTTTTCTCCATGCATAGTGATTGGGAACTTCTGAAAGCAAAAGTCTTTCTCCCTAAACCAGAAGAGGATCTCAGGCACAAAGCCTTGCAGAGGTGAGACAGACACAGCAGCATCTTCACATTTGAAGGAGGGCAGTGCGAGGTATGGACTCTTCATCAACTGGATTAATACATTTTTAAAAAATGTATTTATTTTTGGCTGTTTTGGGTCTTCGTTGCTGTGCATGGGCTTTCTCTAGTTGTGGCGAGTGGGGTCTACTCTTCGTTGTGGTATGTGGGCTTCTCATTGCGGTGGCTTCTCTTGTTACGGAGCACGGGCTCTAGGCGTGCAGGCTTCAGTAGTTGTGGCATGCAGGCTCAGTAGTTGTGGCTCGTGGGCTCTAGAGCACAGGCTCAGTAGTTGTGACGCACGGGCTTAGTTGCTCCGCGGCATGTGGGATCTTCCCAGACCAGGGATCGAACCCATGTCTGCTGCATTGGCAGGAGGATTCTTAACCACTGTGCCACCAGGGAAGTCCCCGGATTAATACATTATTGACACTAAATTGCTTTTCTGATTCATAAAAAAAAAGTCTTTCTCCCTAGATTTATGTGGGATATTTTATCCCCTGTTGCCCATGGAGACCTTCAGAAGAAAGAAAATGGTTTTTACCCCATGTTTTGGAGAGTCTGAAACCCATAAGCTGTTTGGACAAGCCTTAATTGGATACCTGTTTTGTGCCAGGCAAGCCAGTGCTGGGCGTTCAAGAGGAGAGACCTAGGTCTTGCCTTGAGGAGCTCACTCCCGTGGGGAGAGAGTAACCTCAGAGTGTGGCACATGGATGCCCTGATGCCGCAGGCTTTCATAGGAGGCAGACAGGAGTTTGGCACCATGTAGAAATGAATTTGAGTCTGGCTTCCCCTGCTTCTTGGTTCTTAGCTTCTCTGAGCCTCAGTTTCTTCCTGTGAAGATGGGGACACCAGGGGTCTGAGGTTGTGATAAGATCATGCACCGGATGCCCTTAGCACACTGTAGCAGGTGAGATGTGACGTCACCTTAGGTGCCAGTATCTTTAGGAGGGCTTGGCAGTGGGGATGGGGAGGGGTCTAGGGTTCCACTCTCAGAAGTAGTTATGACTAATTGGGTAGGGCTAGCACCAGGGACAAAGGGGGACAGATGTGTGCCACGACTGTCATCTCTTTTTGATACTGAGCACCTACTGTGTACCTCTTTCCGGCCTCACAAGGGCCCTCAGAGGCCTTGTTGCCCTCGACCAGATGAAGAGCCTGAGAAGGGGAGGGAGTGGAGTGGGGGGCTTGCTCAGACACAGCTGCAGCTTCACTCCCCTTTCCCACCACTGGTGCTCTGTCTTTTACCAGAACTCACTCTGTGACGTTGAGCAAGTCTTTGCCCCCCTCGGGAGAGCTGGTTTCAGGGGAATCAGGGACGCCAGGCTTCCCACATTTAAAGTTTTAAAGAGCGTTCCAGTCCCTTCCCCTCCCCCAAGTCTCCTCCCGTCGGACGCCCAGGTGAGCTCTGGGAGCTGCCCGCAGGTGATGATAATACCAACAGAGTATCTCGCATTTGCTCCGCGACCCGACCTGTGCTAAACTCCTTGCCTCCGTAATTCTCCGCAATCCCCAATCCGAGACATCCCGGGGCCGAATTCGCCCCGCGGGCCCGGCCCCCTTTCGTGATCAAGATGCAGAGGCCCCGACGGCCTCCCAGCACCGCCCCACGTGCCGCCCCTGGCGGCTCCGCCCGGGTCCGCGCGAGGGAGACCGGGGGCGGGGCCTCGGGGAGGGGGTTCGGCCGGGCTCGGTGACTACACTGGCCCAACAGACCGCCCCACTCCTGCCACCCTCCGATGGGTCCACTGTCTTTGTGCCCGTCAGTAGGGCTGTCGCTGCTGCTGCTACTGGGACCCGGACTCGGGCTCAGCTCAGGTGAGTGAGGGATGGGCCCCCTCCAAGGACCCAGGAGTTCCTGGGGCTCCTCCAGTCCTCCCCAGGGTGCCAGGAGCCCTGCCTCCCCAGCCCTCCCAGGGGATCCAGGAGCCCTACAGCCCCCAGCCCTACTTTCTGTGGTCCACCCACACGTTGCTTCCCAGCTTCATGGGATCCCTGTCCCCCCGCACCGTCCCCCCTGTCCTCCCCTAGAGCCCCTCATTCACTGCTTCCAGGGATCCAGAACTAGCTCAGTCCTCCCCCAGGGCCTCAGTGTCCTCCCCCAAAACCCTCTCCACTCACTGGCACCCTCTCCAGTGACCAGACCTCCCCATCCACCTGGCCTGGTGCCCTGTGAACTGAGCCTTCACTCCACCTGTCCCTGGGGTCTGCAGTAGGACCACCAGGGGGACACGAGAGGCTGAAAGGAGCAGGGGAAGAAGGGGCCCAGCCCTACCTGGGGTCAGGGAAGAACGCAATGTCCCCTTCTCAACCACCCCTAGACGTCACCCTCGGATAGGTCCCCTTGGCATATTACCCACAGGGACATGTGCAGACGCCACAAGCACAGAGACACACAGGCACAGGACGCCCCCAGCCTCATCTGGTCACTCAGGTGCTGGGCTCACGGACAGGCTCACACACAGACACAGGCAAAGACACCGCGAGGGAAACGCACACACCCACACACCCACACTCAGGGATACCGAGACAGCCCCATATGGACACACATACAGAGAGAAGCACACACACACAAACACACACACACCCTCAGACCCACAGGAAGCCTGGACAGCCTTGGCACTCCCAGCAGAGGCTGTTGTGGGCAGACACAGCAAACAGCCCCCAGAATGACCTGCCCCACCTAAGCTGGCACGGAGGGAGTGTTTGCCTTGGTTACAAATCCAGTGCTGGGTGTCCACCCATGCCTGGGTTCTCCCTAGGGCTGAGTCCAGGACCCTGAGATGCCAGAGGGTGGGTCAGGTCAGGGTGGGGAGACCTCTGGGGACAGCTTTAGGGTGTGGGTTTGGAACTGGGGTCCTGTCAGATGTGCTTATTTCTTTTTCAAGTTTTTATTTTATTTTATTTATTTTTGGTTGCACCACGTGGCACGCAGGATCTTAGTTCCCCGACCAGGGATGGAACCCACGCCCCTGCAGTGGCAGCACAGAGTCTTAACCACTGGACCGCCAGGGAAGTCCCCAGATGTGCTTAGACTGGGAGTGTTCCATGGGGCTTGGTGGATCCAGGGGTCAAGGAAGCTTTTCTGAAAGCCCACTGCATGCCAGGGGATCCGGAGCTGCCCGCAGCAGAGATCTGTCCAGGCTGAAGGGTCATGCCCATGAGCAGACAGTGGCACAGCGTGACAAGGGCCCCTGTGGTCACATGGGGGTGAAGCAGATTCTAGAAGGAGGTGATGGGTGAGCTGGGTGAGGATGGGGTGAGGGCACTTGCAGCGTGGGGTGTATGTGACAGGCAGTTTAACTGGAGGAACAGGACATGATGAGTGGGGTCCATGAGAGAGGGTGCTGGAGCGGGGGGAGGGTCAGCTCCTGCAGGGCCTCTGATCAGTGAGGACCCTGAGCTTTACCTGGAGGGGGACGGGAGCCTGGGGAGGTTTCAAGCAGAGGTATGGGCAACTGGGGGCAGCACTCAGGAAGTCCTGTGAGAGGAGGACGGGTCATCCAGAGAGGAAGGCAAAGCTTTTAACTCTAAACTCGTTTTTACATTTTGTTTCTATTTAACTTATCTCCAGTCCCCTATACGAATATGCTGCTTTTCCCACTGAGGAAAAAACAAAATTGAGGGAATTCTCTGGTGGTCCAGTGGTTAGGACGCTGAGTTTCCATCGCTGGGGACACCACTTTTATCCCCGATCGGGGAACTAAGATCCCGCAAGCCACGCGGCACAGCCAAAAAAAAAAAAAATTGAATTGAATTGAATTGAATTTTGGTTTGGACTCTTCAAAAAAGTCAGCATGATAAATTCTTGTTCCAGATAAAAAGACTTGAAACAGACATGATGATTAAAGGCAATGCAAAAATCTCCTCTGGATCCTCAGTCCTGGAGCAGTGGGCAGAGAGCGGGTTCCCAGGAATCAGGCCGACCTGGGCACGAGTTTCCGCTCAGCAGCTCACCAGCTCTGAGACCTGGGTTGGGTCCTTTTGCTTCTCGTAGCCTCAGTCTCTCCATCTGTAAGTGGGAGAATAGCCACCCACGAGACAAGGAAGTTGACAACAGATGTCGCCTATAAATTGGGGAGCACAGTGCCCAGTGCAGGGCGAGGTCCCAGTGATAGCATCTCCTTACCGTGGCTGATTGTGTATTTTGACTAAGCGCCAGAGTGGACTCATGGCCCTCACCAGAAGAAGGAGTGGCTCTGGGATTCTCTGATGCCCAGCTCACAGCAGGTTTGGAGGCCCCTTACCCCGAGCAGTGGACCCCTTGATGCCCCTAAGCTCTGTCACCCTGGCAGGCTCCCTTCCTCCTTGGGCAAGGAGGAAGGAGCACTGGATTGGGAGTCAGAAGCCCCCAGTCAGGTCAGGTTCTTGTGGGCTGTGTGACTTTAGGGTTGTCCTTCCCACCTGGGCCTCCTCTTTCTTCCATGTGAGATGCAGGGGTTCCAGTCGCACCAACTATGTACTGCTATGTGTCACAGCCACATGGGGGATCCAGAAAAATGGCTGGGATGTGGCCGCAGGGCCTCCCCGTGTGGGAGGAAGCTGTGCCGGGCAGTGAAAATAAGAGATGCAAAGGGCCCTGAGCCAGAGTCTGGAGGGCAGTGGTGGGAGCAGTGGAGACCCAGGGAGAGGGAAGCCCCCGCAAAGGAGCCCGCCTTGATGGCAGGGACTCTGTTCAGCTCACTTCTGATGTCCAGTGCCCAGCACGGGCAACTGGACAGACGTTTGATGCGCGACTTGCAATCTGACTCTGTCTGGAGTTGATAAGGGCAAAGGATTGGGGATCAGGGCATTCCAGGAAGAGGGAACAGCCTGTGCAAAGGCCCAGAGGTGTGAGTTGTTTCAGATGCTGTGGCTCTGTGACCTGTTTTCTCCTTCATGGCTGCCTTGAAGGTATTGATAACAATAGTTAGAGCTCATTGTGTGCCGGGTGCTTTACATGCATGATCTCATTCCATTCCTGGGAGTGAGATCCCCTGATTCCCCTGTTTCACAGATGAGGAAACCAAGGCACAGAGAGGTTGAGCTGTCCAAGGTCACACAGCTAGGAATAAGAAGCAGGATTCAAACTGAGACAGTCATCCAGGCCCTTTTCAGGCTGCTGCCCTTCCCCAGAGCCAGGGCAGCCCCCCACCTGCAGCCTCTAACATTTGTCTCCCCCTACCCACCCCAGCTTCCCAGAGGTCACATGTGCACCGACGTGGGCTCATAGAACTGGCAGGGACTGTGCACTGTGCTGGCATCCGCACCGCCATGGCCTACATGAACTACGGCTGCTATTGTGGCCTGGGTGGCCATGGCCAGCCCAGGGATGCCATTGACTGGTGAGTGCATGCTGGGGCCAGAAGGTTCCACCCCCTGGGGTCAGGAAGGAAATATCACCTTTGAGGAAATACCCCAAAACGAGGTTGGGGTTTGGGCTAGGAAGATCCCAGCACGCGGTACTACTTGCAGGCAGAGGGCATCCTGGGCAACACGGCCAATGAGGCCAAACTGTGGTGCCAGCTGCCCCCCCCCACCGTCTGGCCATGGAGTGATTGATTATGTTAGCTGAAAAAAATTGCATGTCATTGATCAGACTTATTATGCATCAGAACTGTTCTGAGAACCCCTTCAAGTCCTCACAAAACCCCATTTCAGAGATGAGGAAAGTGAGGCACAGAGAGATCAACTTGCCTGGGGCCACATAGAGGATGAGGGGTGGGAACTGAGATTTGAACCCAGGCAGCCTGGCTAGATTCACGCCCCCATCACTGCCCTCTGCTGCTGTGTGAGAAGGGCCAGTTCTGTGCGAGGCTGCAGGCTTGGATCTTGCCACGACTTCCTTTCATTTGCCCTCAGGGCCATGGCCATCCGTGGAGGCAGGTATGATGGTGATCCTGAGGCTTAAAGAGACACAGCCACTCACCATTTCCACTTAGTGCTGGTGGGGGGCAGGGGCGTGGAATGTGACTGTCTCTTCCGAGCTCGGAGGATGTAGCTGTCACTGACAGGTTTTTATCCAGCCTCGTGCCTTGGAGGCTCCTGCCATGGGCCCTGCCCTCCCTCCCACACTCTGGTTGTCTAGTTCCTGCACATCTTTCCAGGTGCAGCCCAGGCCTCACCTCCTCTAGGAAGCCTTCCCTGAAGCCCAGCTGGGCCTGGCACTTCTCTGGCTCCCAGAAGCCCCTCTCCTTACCCCACATCTCAGCACTTCTCGCCACACACGTGGCACCTGGTGGCTTGTCTGCCTCTCCCCGCCAGACTGGGAGCTCCTTGAGGGCAGAGTGGAATCTGGCTGACGTCTCCCTGCCAGACCCTACTGAGGGGTCAGCGCAGGGTGGGGCTGCTGGCTGGCTGGAAGCAAGAGCAGTGGATGATTGCACGATGGACAAGTTTACAGACATTGGTGGGTGTTTCTCAGGGAATTTGTATGTTATTATTATCATTACTGTTGCTTTCGAGGTGCTCTTCCGTGGCAGGCTGGACACCAGTGACAGCGTGGGGAGCAGGACAGAAATGGCCCCGCCCTCACAGAGGTCTTGGTCAGGGAGGACAGCTGCTAATCAGTCTTCTCCCTAATTAGGGTCTCATCAAAAACCTGCCCGGAGGGAAGGAACCTGGGTTTAGGAGAGGGTGTGATCAGGAGACTGTCAGAGCCTGGGGAGATGTGGGATCTGGATGGCATCCTGGGGGTGGGGCGGGTACTCAGGCTGAGACCTAGAGCAGGAAGAGGGGGCATGAAGTTCTCCCAGGCAGGGGGCAGAGTGTTGGCAAAGTCAGGAGATGGGGAGGGTGTGGCTCGCTCCAGGAACAGAGAAGAGACCACTGTGGCTGGAGCTCGGAGCCTCAGAGAGTGAGGCAGGCAGGGGCCAGGCTGGAGTGTGGCAGAGGGATGGAGGCAGCGCAGGACACACTGAGGTCGGTGGAATTATTTCCCAAGATGGGGATTCTCAGGGAGAAGGCTTGGACCAGAAGATGCTGTCACCCTGTGGGTCCTCACTCACCCGAAGTTCTGGCACAGGAGGGTGGCCAAGAGAGCATCCCTGCCTTCACCCACCCGGCGGTCTGCCTTCTGCCACCCACAGGTGCTGTCATTCCCACGACTGCTGCTACAAACGTGCCGAGGTTGCTGGCTGCAGTCCCAAGATGGAGCGCTATTCCTGGCACTGTGTCAATCAGCACATCCTGTGTGGTGAGTTCCCAGCATCAGACCCAGTAGCAACCACTGGCTGGAGCATAGAGGGACTTCCAAGTATAGGCAGGGCCCATCTCTCCCCATCTGCCCCAGTCTCCACTGTGCCCTATTGTCTGCCTGACATTGAGGCCAAGTGTCAATTACTATAGCTCATTTCTCCTGTGCTGTTGATTTTGTTATGGAAAAGGAATATTTCTATCAGACCCAGGAAAACAGAAGGTAGGTCAAAAGGCTGAATGCTTCAAGAAAAATGGGAATGGTGAGCCCATTTATTTGTCAAAATGAAGAGTACACCTGGGTCTGATGTATCCCCTTTGCTTCGCTCATTAGCACTGCCTGCCCCAGGGGATGTCTGAGTTTGCAAACCCTGGCCTCTGGCCAACAGCTTAGTCCATGATTCAGATTCTGTGACGTTGCCAAGCCTTGATCTCTCAGGGCCTCAGTTTCCTCATTGGTAAACTGGGGGCGGAAATCAAGCCGGCCTATTGTAAGGATGAAGTGACAGTGTCACTGTGCTTCATGCCTAGTAGATGTCATTAATGTCTGGTGAAGAAATGACCCAACACAGAACCTCCGGTGAAGATGACCAGGCACTATTTCACTGAGCAGGATTTGGGGAAGGACAAGAAGACAGTTCTGTGTAACCCTGAACCCCCCAAAAGAAAGTAATTTCTCTTTCAATTTTCTTTTAATCCTTCTAATTTTGTGAAATTAGGAGAAAGTCTCAGTTCAGTGTTACGTTAGCTGAAACATCCCTGGGTCACTTGCTGGTCCTTTTTAACCAAGAGAGTAGGTTTCTGGCTTATAACGTTATTCAAAAACCATTCTATTCCTAAATTTAATTCTGGCCTTAAAAAAATTCTTCATTATCTATCTATCTGTTTATTTCTCTCTCTATCTACCTATCTATCATCTGTCTTTAACCACAAGCAGCGTGTATTTAATGAGGATAATTATAACATAATCTGGTATCACTGTACATTTTACATGACCGGCCACTTCTTTTTTTTAAAAACTATTGTTAACTCGCTCCATATCATTTTATTTATTTATTTGTTTGTTTATTTATTTATGGCTGCATTGGGCCTTCATTGCTGCACACGGGCTTTCTCTAGTTGCGGTGAGTGGGGGCTACTCTTTGTTGCGGTGCGCAGGCTTCTCATTGTTGTGGCTTCTCTAGTTGCAGAGCATGGGCTCTAGGTGCCCGGGCTTCAGTAGTTGTGGCTCGTGGGCTCTAGAGCGCAGGCTCAGTTGTTGTGGCGCATGGGCTTAGTTGCTCCGTGGCATGTGGGATCTTCCTGGGCCAGGGCTTGAACCCATGTCCCCTGCATTGGCAGGCGGATTCTTAACCACTGCGCCACCAGGGAAGCCCAGTCTTGGTACTCTTGTTGAAAATCACTTGGCTCTTAGATCAGTGATGTCTCTGAGCCTGTTTCCTTACCTGGAAGATGGGTGTTGCAAAGATGGAAGAAGTTTTATAACGTGATAACCAAATTGGATGGAAGTTGTCACCTTCTTCCCTACCCTCTTCTCCATCCCTCATCCTCATCTGAACCTCTCTCTGACCCCCACTACCTCCACCTGAGAGAACTGAGGATCTGGTGTGATTCTCCACTAAAACCCCAGCTTCTGCAGACTTGTTCTCCTCTAGAGGGAAGGAGGCTATCCTAAGGGTTACGTAGAAAGATGTTCTTAGATATGCATGGATTCGCAGCTGTATATCCTCTGAGTCTGAATTAGGAGTTGGCACAGAGCAAAACTGAATTAATATGGAGACATAACATCAAGGACTGAAAACGCCCCAGACATCATCTCATCCAACCCTCTCACTTAGAATTGGGGAAAATGAAGCCCAGGGAAAGAAGTGACTTGCTTAACATAGTGGTGATAAGCCCACTTCTGGGCATATTCCCTGTCCCCAAACTGCCCCCTTCCACTATGGGTGGAGAGGAGAAGTGGGCCTTGAATGGGAAATGTGTTAAAGACCTTTCTCTTCTTCCTTCAATCATTTTTACAAACCATGTAAAAATGATGTTTGTAAAATATTTATTGGTGTGTCTGCTGGTGGAGTCTGTGACTGTTTGCAGAACTGCCCTCCCTGAACCAAACGAAGAGAACCAAAATATCTATTATGCATTTTTTTTTTTGCTAAAAATATTCTTATTCTGTTTGGAAACATTCTGAACATAGTTGTTTGCTTAATTATAGGTGTGGCCCATTTTCCATTTATGGGCCTGACTTAAATATATATTTTTTCAATGTTAAGCATATAATAATATTTACTGGCAGGGCTTTATTTTAAACTTAACCCTTGGGAGCTAGGTTTCCTCTTCAGTTTTTATTATTCTTGAATAACATGAAGCTGTTGGGCTCCTGAGGCCATGGAGCAGTGAGACCCAGCCTTGCTTTTGAAAGGATCTTTCTTGCTCAGGGAAAAGGGTGGGAGCACAAAGGAGGCATAGGCAAGGTCAGCTTTGTGACCTTGGATAAGTTACTAAATCCCTCTGAGCCTCACTTTCCTCATCTGTAAAATGGGAATAATAAAACTCTGGTGTTGGGTTTGTATAAGAATCAGAAACAATGTATGGCTTTTCTGTATTCTCCCAAAAATTATTATTGAGAATCTACTCTGTGCCAGGCTCCCTGCTAGGTTTTGGGCAAAACAGAGAAGCAAGGCTCTGTGGTCTAAAAAGAGGAGAGCAGTAAATAGCATCTGTGCCAATTGTTTTTACAAGTGCTGTGTCGGAAGAGAAAGCAGTGAAGTATTATACCAACTACAACATAGATGAACCTTGAAAACGTGAAGCTCAGTAAAAAAAAGCCAGACACAAAAGGTCACCCATTGTATGATTCCATGTATATGAAATGTCCAGACTAGGCAAATCCACAGACAGAAGGCATATTTGTGGTTACCAGGGACTCCGGAGAGCGGAATTGGGGAGTGACTTAATAAATATGGGGTTTCTTTTGGTCTGATAAAAATGTTTTGGAACTAGATAGAGGGGATGGTGGCAGAACATTGTGAATGTACTGAATACCACTGACTTGTCACTTTAAAGTGGTAAATTTTGTTATGGGAATTTTGCCTCAGTAAAAATGTATCCTCACCCCAGAATGCTCAGGGGTCAGAGAAGGTCTCACTGACAAGATGCCATTGAAGCAGAGACTTGGGGAATGAAGGAGTCGTGGGAAGAGGTGGTGGGAACAGCCAGTGCAAAGGATGAATGTCTGGGTGGTTTGAGGAGGATGAGGCTGGAGTAGAGTCACCCAGGGAGAGAGTAGTAGGTGATAATAGAATGATGAGGGCCAGATCCCCCAGGCCGTTGGAGGCTTTCCTTTGAGGGAGATGGAGAGCCAGGGAGGGTTTTGAGCAGAGGAGGGACATGATCCGATCTGCATTTTAACCGTAGTGCATTTTTGGCTGCTGCATAGAACATATGCTGGAGGGAGCAAGGGTGGAAGCCAGGCACCTGTATGAAGCTGTCCCAGGGATCTGGGTGAGAGGTGGCTTGGGCAGGTGGTGGCAGTGGAGATGGTGGAAGGGGGGCTTCTGGACATGTTTGGCTGGAAGGTGGAGCTGAGGGACTCGCTCATGGATGGGGGAGGGAAGGGGAACTGGCTGGAGTGTTCATGCGAGTCACCCTGTCCTTAGACAGCTGTCCTCCGCTTGCAACCCTGGAGCTTCAATGGCTCTTTCCTCAGAAGTCCCTACCCCACCAGGTCACATTGCTCCGAGGGTGTACATGTCTCTGTTGTGCAGCGGCCCCTGGAAATTTTACAGGCAGAAGGGCTGGCTCCTGCACCAGCTGGTTCATTTACCAATTTTTACATATTTTTATCTATCTATCTGTTCATCTGTCCATCTGTCTATCCATCCATTTATCCACATGCTTTTTCTGATTCAAACCTAATCCACCTTTCTTGTGAAAAATTAAAACATTCCAGAAACACTGTAATGTAGAAAGTTACACTCCATCCACCAGAGTTAACTAGCTTCTGTTAAGTTTGGCATCTTTTCCTCCAGATTTGTGCATGTGTAAACAAACAATAACAAAAATCAGATCACACTACGTATATTTTATTATTTTTTTCACTTAATATAGTGTCTTGGACATCTTGGAACATCTAGGTCAGCCTCATTCTTTTAAAGCCAGACAATCACCTATGGCAGAGTGTCTCCATCTTGACACTTTGGACATTTGGGGCTGGACAATTCTCCAGTGAGGGGGCCGTCCTGGGCATTGTAGAGTTTAGCGGCGTCCCTGGCCTCTACCAACCAGATGCCAGTAGCACCCCCAATCCCCCACGTGACAACCAAAGATGTCTCCGCACACTGCCAAATGCCCCCCGGGGGCCCCAACTGAGAATGGCCAGTGACACGAATGTACTTTATTTTGCAGAGACCATGGCTGTTCCTAAGTCTTTGTGCACTTGTGAGAGGGTTTTGTAGCATGGAGTCCTAGAACTGTTGGGTCAAATGGTGTATCTGAGGTGCCCTTAGAATTTATATGTAGAAAGGACTGGAGAGCAGCCTGAAAGGGGGTTAGAGAACTTGTCCTGGATGGGTATTTACTCGGCAGGAGCATTTAAAAAATGTAAATGGTGTTTATTGTAGAGGCTGGGGAGAGGCTAAAGGGAGACCTGGTAGAGATTAGGGAGGAGGAAGGCCACCAAAGTCCCCACAAGCCACCTCCTTTCGGCACTGAGTGGTATAGGTATTTTAAGTCTAACAAATAATGTAAACTAAACTTTGAAATAGCTGCCCTTCAAATTTGGTTAATTGAGATTGCTTTTTCCACGATGAAAGCACCGTATGGCTCAAAGTAGAAGAGTTTCAAATTACAAAATGTAAAAGTTTGGTGGGAAATAAAACTTCATTGACACTACCCAGACATCCATTTGATTAACCTTCTGGTGGTGGTGGTGGTGTTTTGTCTTTTTTGAGTGCATAATACATAAAAAACATAGCAGTGTGTTTTGTACCCCTTATTTTCCTCTTAAGTATAAGCTCTTTTCCATGTCATTAAAACTCTATTAAAAGAATAGATATATGTATAACTGAGTCACTTGCTGTACACCTGAAACTAACAAGATCAACTAACTAAACTAACTAAATCAACTATACTCTAATATATATATATATAAAAACTCTATTAAACAATCCTCTGTTACAAACTTGAACTTGTAAGGGTGGGCGAGTGCCCCGAGTTGACACCCTACTCCCTTCCTGCAGACAAGCCAGGAGGCCTGGGGTTGGGCAGAGCTGAGTTGGGGCCCAGTCCCCACACCCCTTCCTGGATTTTTCCTCTGTAAGGTTGGGGTGCCAATGGCACTGCCCTGAGAGGACTGGGTGAGATGGGGACCATAGAGCCAGCTCTTTGCCCAGTGCCTGGCTCTGCATAACTGCACAGTTAACGCCAGCTCCCATCATCCTGACTTCTTCTGTTGTTATCCATTTACTGAATTATAACCAAGGCAGTTTTTCTTTTCTGGGCCGCGCCGCGCCACATGGCTTGTGATCTTAGTTCCCTGACCAGGGATCAAACCCGGGTCCCCTGCATTGGGAGCGTAGTGTCTTACTCACTGGACCACCAGGGAAGTAAGTCCCTGGGAAGCTTAATAAATGAATTTAAGGGAGAAAGATTTTCCCTCTCAGTCCTTTGTTAGTTTTTCCAATTAGGCAAGGAGGAAGTATCAATTGCACGATAGTCTGACTGCTAGAGAGGGTAAACCTCTCTTACACTTGCTAATCTCCCTTTTTCTTTAAACCAAGACACTCCAATTTGGGGGCTCACAGCTTTCAGGTGGGCAACAGCATTTAACTAGACTTTGATATCAGGACTTTATCTTCATTGGTTTTTGTTGTTGTTTTTGCTTTCTTTGTTTTTTAGTCAGTTTCTTATATTTGTGGTATAAGATTTTGGTTTTCCATTTATGTCAGTGATAGAATTTATTTGATGCAATTTAATACCACTTAATATAATTAAATCATAATTTATTTAATAATTGACTGACTATTAGAAATAAAGGGGATTTAAAGCTAGCATCTTGAAGCTGCTATGGGTCTGAGTTTGGGAAACCCTGTGTGCAGTCATGCAGATAAACACCTTTAATCAACTCAGCTCATTACAGAGGGTCCCGGGCCCCCTGCCTCCTGCTTGACATCCCCCACCCCTCCCCCACTCATCACTCCATCCCCTCCTGGTGCTGCCAAGCTCTTCAAGTGTTGCCCTGAGAGAAGCTGATGAATTTTCTGAGTCTCATGCTTCACCTTGCTAGGATCTCCATGGAACTTGTGCATTTTAAGAGGGGATCTTTAAAGATTAGCTGACAGCTTAAGGAGGTCAGCTGCAGCTCATAAGCACCTGCTGTATGCTCTGGATTTTACTGACTTGGTCTCTTTTCATTCTCCCAACAGCCCTTAGAAGTAGGTACTTTTAGTATCCTCATGTGGCCCCTGTGGAAACAGCCTGGGAAGGATGAAGTGATGTGCCCAAAGGAACTATATCCATGGCCAAGCTGGCTACCTCCAGAGTTCATGCTTCACTGTGCCTCTGGAAGAAATTTGGCAAGATTTAATAGTGGGTGTTTTTTTTCCCCCCATTTTGTGGATAATTAAAAAACCCACAGTCAAAGGCAGATGACATATCCATAGCTGTTATACCTTCTAAATTAATAAGATACAACTTGAAGATCACAGAGTCTTTCCAACCTAAAGGAATGACTGTCTAGCAGTGGAATTCCCAAGGCAGAAGGAGATTTATCTTTGGGTGGCAACCTTTGCACCTCTGTATAAGGTAGGCCCAGGGTGGAAGGAAGAGATGGAATATATGATTGTTACCTAAAACAAACTATTTTCTTATTCAGTATCATGTCATGTGCATATAATGACATTTTACTTCTTCTTTTCCAATTTGGATACCTTTTATTTCTTTTTCTTGTCTGATTGCTGTGGCTAGGACTTCCAATACTGTGTTGAATAGAAGTGGCAAGAGTGGGCATCCTTGTCATGTTCCAGATTTCAGAGGGAAGTCTTTTAGCTTTTCACCATTGAGTATTATGTTGGCTATGGGAACAAACTGTTCTCTTGAAGGAGCATCTGAAAGAGACCTGGAGAGAAAAGGCAAAGAAATGCAGGTAGAACCAACATTGATGGAGTTACACGCATAGGGCCAAGCCCCTGCCGGGCACTTTACATAGGTTTTCTCACCCATGCTTCCCAATAAACCTGCAAAGCGGATGGTGCTCCCATCTACATGAGGACTTGGCTCAGAAAGTTTAGGTAAGACCACACAGCTAGGAACTAGCAGAGAAGGCATTCTGAAAAAAAAAAAAAAGCCTGGATGGTTCCCAGGCACCTACTGCTTATCTAAATGGATCCTTAAATGCACTAGTGTAATACTGACGCAGAAGAGAAGCTAAAAGGGCATATGGACTTTGGACTTCCTCTCTGAAAACACTCCCCTGGCAACTTCAATTTCCTTTTCTGTAAAATGGGCTGAACATCACCTCCTTCGGGAGTTATGACAAGAGAGATAATGTGGTGAACTGTCAAAGTGTCAGCCATCTGCAATTTATGCCCTTCCTTGTCCCCAGCTTTACTGGCTTCCCTTGCATTTATCTTCAAGTCTCTCCAAGTCCCTGCTCTAACCTCAGTTTTCCCACTTCTTCCAGGACCAGTGGAGGACAAATGCCAAGAACTCATGTGCAAGTGTGACCGGGAGATTGCTTACTGTTTAGCCAAAACTGAGTACAACTTAAAGTACCTCCTTTACCCCCGTTTCTTGTGTGGGAAGGATTCGCCCAAGTGTGACTGACTAGCATGACTTGAAATGTCTTTTTTGCACAAGGAAATAAAACTTCTTTTTGCGGATCAACAGCCTTATTCAGTTCTTTGCAGGAGGAAGCTGGGGCCAATTGTTAAAGCTGAAACCCTTGTGTTTGCTTTCACTCCTGTCCCGAACTTGGGGCTGGAGCCAGTTTGGTTTCCAGCTTAATGTCAAAAGTCCCACGCCTATTTTATAAAACCACAACTTTATGACTGTATTTATGACTGTATTAGGTTTGGTACCATTTGAGGTTCAACCTTTATGAAAAGAGCTGAGCCTTGTCTTCTAACCTGCTCCCGATGGCAGGTAGTCAAAAGTGAGCAAACACCTACCATGCGCTTGGCCTTGCTTTCGATTCTGGGTTGAAGCAATAAACAAAATGGCCACATGATGCCCAACCTTGTGAAGTTCAAGTCTAGTAGTTGTTAGCGCGAGTCTTCTGCCCTATCCCACTCCACCTTTAACAACAGTTAAAATTTATTTCCTGATTACAAAAGTAGTACCTATGCACTGCTAAAAAAAATAAATTAATAAAAAATAAAAGTAAAATTGAGAAATATATAAAGGAGAAAACACCCCACTCCAGTTCTCAGTCCACAATAACCACTTTTAGTATCTTAGTGTGCTGCCCATCGGTCTTGTCTATAATGTGTTAAAAGTGTAATTGAGACTCTATACTGTATGATTTTCATAAGCTTTTTTCCATTTCTCCATGTCTTTAAAAAAAATCTCTGGAAACTTCATTTCCAAATGTATTAGATACATTTCCAGCTGTACTAGATACTATTTTATAGACTGCTACCTTTTGGACATTGGTGATACTTCCTATTTTTATCAATTACTGATGTGGTGAGGATGCTTGTGAATAAATCTTTGCCCCCCTCCCACCCTTTTATTATTCCTTAACTGAGATTTGCAGAAATGGAATTCTTGCATTAAAGGGTCTGAATATTTTAAGTAGACTCCCCATTTTGACACACCAAGCCAAGAGGGTCTGAGGGCGGAGAGGCAGCCGGTGGCCCTGGCTCTGATATGCCTGTCCCTCCTGCAGGCGATAAGGAGGGAGAGCCCAGCCCAGCCTGTTTGCTCTCCACCAAGACTGCTTTGCAATCCCCACCCCAGACAGAGCACGCGTGGGTATTACTCATCTTTGAAGCATGATTTGGGGAGTGGGTGGGGATGGTGTGGGGGGAGGCCAAGGGGGGGGGGCAGGTGGGGAGTGCTGGACTGGGAGTCTGGCCTGGGCCCAGCTCCACCAGTGCCACCCAGCATCCCTCTCTTCATCTGAAAAGAAGAGTAACCCTGCGAGGCATGAGGCCAGGGACATGAAGGTATTGCATGCAGATCGGCTGGGCTATCAGCGTCTCCGGCAGGTCACGAGGGTTAAACAGGTAAAGTCAGGCAGCCTCAGGGCCTGATGAACAGACACAGGAGGAAAGAAGACATTCTCCCTCCTTTCACTTAAGAAACCTTCCGTGGCTCCTCCTCGGCTCAATGTCCACGTCAGGCTGGGGGACTTAAGTGTGACCAGTAGGTTGTACTGAGCAATGCAGATTTTCTTCATGCTTCCTAAACAGTTTATTTTTCTCTATATAGAAGTTTTACCTGTATAAAAGAATCTTTATTTTTATTTCAAGTAACTTCTTTAAACTTTCAGAAGCAAAGTTTGAGTGAAATCTTCAAAGATACAAAGGGTTAATGAATGGTTCATGGAGTCACAAAAAAACATTTTGGATGCCAGCTTATCTCTGCAGGGCCAGTCTTCAGGTTGACCGCCTTTCACACCTGCTGCTGTCACACTGGAAGGGAATCAAAGGCCACAGTTCATTTCATATTTACAATTACAGCACTTGGAGTAATTATACTTGTTGTTTTATACATCAGAACAGAGTGTACGGTGGGAGGTCAATGTACAAAATGTTTCCTTAAACAAATGGACTAGCCTGGATTTGACAAATTAAATTCGTAAAAACAAAACAAAGTAAACCCCAAAACAACAATTTTAAGTAGCACTGAAGCAGCTCGGCCTGATGTGAATTACTCTCCATGAAATGCCTGACATCCCACTCAATTCCCCCAGAAAAAGAGATGCAAACTTTCAACGATTACAAGTAGAAAACAGTGATGGCAAGTCTAACCACCATCATTCTAATCTTGAACTGAATCCTTTCAGAGGCTTAACTCTGAAACCGTGTAGCAACTCTTAAATAAGACAGAGTCGTCAGCCGGATTTTGGTTTTTCCTCTGTGTTTTTTATATGCAACTGCCATGCCTATGACAAAATCTCCTGTTCTCCTAAACTTAACTTAGAGGACAGGCCTGGGCCTGGGCTCAGTCTCAGGGCTCCAACTTGCCCTGGGAGCCTTGTGTCAGTCTCTGAGGTTATTAGCGCAAGCGGGACTGAGACCCACTCCATGTCCTCTGAGAACCCTGGGTCCCTGCCAGGTGTCGTGGACTGGGCCTCCCAAGACCCCACGAGGAAGGTGGCTGGGTGGGAGGCACGGTGGCTTTGTCAGCCAAGCGCTGGGGCGCCAGTCCCTGCTGCCACAGGCAGAGGGAGAAGACCTGGCTGTAGCCTTTGACAGACAAAGCAGCACCTTGTTTACCAGGGGCAGAAAATAGGGTGTCCGCTCCCCATCCCCCTCGCCACACTTAAGCATCAGAGCTTGGCTGGCAGGGAGGCTGGAAGAGTCCCTCAGAGGCTGGGCAGCGTCAGTCACAACACTTGGGTTTCTAGCCGTCGGACCTCCTTAACCACGTGATCAATGTTAATAATTGGGTTAAAGTACAGGGCCCAGTAAAACAGACAGTTGCAAACAAATTGAGGGATGAGGGGCCAGAACATGGCCACAAAAAGCCCCTGTGTTGATACTTTCCAAAAGTGGCTCCACATCCTCTGAGGCACAGTCCTGAAAAAGGAAGAGAAGCATTTGAGAGGCACAATAGTGATGGCGTTTCTAACGACAGCGCCGAGGCACTCAGACCCTGGGCCTTTGCCTGATGCAGTCTGGCTGCCAGTGCTGCAGAGACCTTGTTTCCTGTCCCCAGTGCCCCAGACATACCTTTCCTGACCACTCCACCTTCAACTCCCAGGACGCAGCCTAGAGGGTGCCTCCTCAGGGCACTGTCGCCCAGTCCCCACGCCTGGTCCCACAGGCGAGGCCTCCCTAGCACAGTCCCAACTCCACCTGCTTCTTCGCTGGGTCGCTCTTGTACGTATTTAACATAATCTTTTCTCTGCTAGGCTGTAGGCCTTCAGAGTATAAACTGTCTTCTTTACCAAAAGATCTGCGGTGTCCAGCAGAGAACCAGGGGCAGAGTAGGGGCTCAATCAACTGTGCCTGAATAAGTGAGTTCACTGAATTGAAATAAATGAGGGAGAGTCTTGTCAGGTTCTCAGAACTTTTTATAAGGCTGCTCCTGATGGATGAGGCCAAGACCCCTTCACGTCATGGGCTGTTTCAGGCTGAAAGGATGCTGGTGTGCTGATGCATTACTTCTGCCTGCCCAGCAGCCATACCCTGTCTTCTGGAAGCACCTTTTGAGTTTCCCTTTAGAGTGTCTCCCTCTCCTATTCTCTTCCATGTGGTCTGGTTGGGGCATCAGCTAGCCCCTGGTTGGGGGAGAGGCTGTGAGTGCACACCTGCATCTGGACACGGGGAGCCCACAAACCCCTGCACTTGTGGTGGGTTTGGGGTGGCAGGGGGAGGCTGTGACCCAGGCTGGGCCAATCAGAGCAAACGCATGTGAGCCTCAGGCTTTCACAAGCCTCAGAAGTGCTCTCTTTCCTCCAGGGCTGCTAAGCTGCTCAGATCGACACCCAGAGTGATCAAGGACCCCCAAACAAAGACGTTGTTGAGGCTGAACAGAGCTGTAAGGGGGGGGGAGGGGGAGGGAGGGAGAGAGAGAGAGAGAGAGGGAGAGGGAGAGAGGGAGAGGGAGAGGGAGAGGGTGGCCCTGATGACAGCATTTGGGTCTCTGGGTCCAGCCATGCAGGAAGCCTTCACTGGGCATGTCCCTTGGTAGGAAAGCCAATTTAGGTTGGTTTCTCTCACTTACAACCAAGAGTCACTTGACTCAGTGACTGTCTAGTCCAACTCTCATTTTATGCATTAATCCAGAGAAATTATCACTGTTCCAGCTGGTGGCAGTGCAGGATTAGAACTCATGCCTACAGAATTCCTCATCAAATCCCTTTATGCTCTGCCACACTGCTGCTTTCCGTAAAGTACCCTCTTCTTCTCACTTGTTTATTCCTCAATTACTGAAGCCCGTCACGCCCCGCGCCGCAGGAATTAGCCAGCACATCGCATGGGGAGAAGGCGCATGGGACGCACTTTGACAGTGAGCGCCACCAGAGCCACCCCAGCCCCAACACAAAGGCATTTTCCTGTTTGCTGCTTAAGCAGTATTTCTAAACCAGAGCCCGGGGCGTCTTCTCGAGTCTGAACAACACTCCACAGAGGACTTCTCCTCCACTTGGTATTTCTTTCCCAGTCTCTGTTGCTCCAACCGTCTCCTACATAAAAACACACTTACTTCAGTTCACTTCTTGACCAGGTCCTCCAAAAGGAGAATAATTCCAGAACTGAGAGTAACATGGCATTGACGATGAGAAACCGTGACGTCCAGTAATGGACCTCCAGCCAGTCCCAAGCAAATTCAGCAATCAGCTGGTATGGAAGGAAGGAGTACTTGACAAGGAATTCTCTCCACTGCTTCCATGTGGGCTCTCTAAGATCCTTTAAAAATAACACACAAGTAAATAAAACTACATAAAAATGGACACAAAAAATCATGAGGATTGACTTTTACACAAAATACTGTGGTTATCCCAGTGAGTTTTACATTTATTAAAACATACATACACATACACGCATATGCAACAATCTAAAATGAGATTTCCATCCACAAACTCACCTTGTAATAATTAATCTTACACTGGATAAATGTTACCAAAGAGGCTGAACTGAGATGCTTGTTATATAATTGTGGAAGCTCAGAAGTAAAAAAAAAAATCTAAGCATGAGTAATCTAAGCATTATTAATAATGAGGTTGAAATGAATAAAAATTAACC